GGAAAAGGGTTGAGTTCAGCAAATAATAATACCGCATTGAGCTATGCTGCTCCTACAGTGGTAGGCAACCAAGATCATCACACGAGAAACACTACAGCTGAGCCCTGGGAGATCAAGAAGATTCAGAACGTTTCGCCCTGCTTCTGGCCGATTTAATCCAATGAAGGCTCGCAGTTCCGTCTTGATAGTGCCACAATATCAAGGCCAAACAAATCGCTAGCTATGGTGACCAATGCATAGATGATGTTTCACCCCAACGGCAAAATCTAGCCGATCGGTCATGAAAGATATCAACAAATATCGCAGACTAGTAACTTTCTAGAACGTATAATTTCTTCCGGCATTCTTCTCAAAAGAATGTTCTCTTTGTTTTAATGGACCTCCAGCTCTGCAGAGGACAAACTCCATTAGACGGCACTTCAAAACATCATCGATAATTAAAGAAATGGCACATGGAAAACTTCAAAGACTACACGAAGAATGTTCTCCATGCTTGGTTCAAGGCTTCATGAACAACCTGCTTCTTCATCGGAATAATCCGAAATCGAAAGAAATGATGAGATAATATTCTGCGGTATTACGGTAGAGAGTATATCTACTGGATATTGGGAACTTTGAGGTGGAATTTGACAGCTCAAACAACAGGCTAAAAAGATTCGATTTCTTTCATGGCTTCAGGAATAGCTGGAGCAGATCTAAACAGAGGATTAACCTTTGAGCTTTCGAATTGAAACAATCTTTTTGTAAATCAGTTAAAAACTGTTTCACCCGTTCAGGTTACCAAATTGGATATTAAGAGAGTGGTTTGGTTTCAAATAACATATCGAGGCCGATAGCTTGCTTTTAAAGTACAACAACTTTGGCCCTTCATGAATCGGTCTCAATTATAGATACCGTAGGTGCTTACTCGATTCGATTGATTGGACAACATAAATGATGTTGAAAATGATGGTTAAAAACAGCTGTGCTTGAGAAATACTGTTATTTGAGTTGCTTGTAGGTGAGTCGAAGCAATAGAGTTGTGATTGTGAGGCATGATCCTGATGCTGAGGGGATGAGTTGCGATATAATAAGTTTTGAAATTGGTTACTTTGAAGAGCAGGTGCCATACTCACCTATTGAAGACAGTCCGCCAATCAGCGCCACCCTTATGATGTTGACGCCCCGCTCCGCCAATTCAAATCCCTGTCATTGTCGCCCCGCCACCAGGAAGATTTTGTTTCATAGCCCACATATTTTAAAAGTGATTATAATACTAAATAGATGCCGTATCGTCATCAACAATCATAACATTATCAAGCTGCGATGGCCGAGTGGTCTAAGGCGATGGTTTTAAGACGCTTCTCACGAAGCAGAATTCACCATTATCGAAAGATGCGAGGGTTCGAACCCCTCTCGCAGCAACAGACTATCATTTTTTTTATTTTTTTATTCCATTTTGTTTTCGCTCAATGACCGTAATATTTTTGAGTATTGGTTCATGCAGATTCTATATCTGCCTGCTTAGGGCGTGTTCGGATTGCTTTTTTGAACCGATGTTGCCTATATTTGTAGCCTACATAAACCAAATCGAATGCGAATGTTGTTAGTATGGTAAAACTTTAATATCATTGTAGCATTATGACCTACAAATGCGGTTTATCGAATGCTAATGTTCGCAACATCAGTTTCACAAAATGTAGATTTACAATTATTACAAAATGTTCAAATTTGTATAATAATTTCGCCAAATCTCTAATAAAGATCTAATCAACTTTTGCTTACAAAATGTTGTCAACATCGTTTGTGAAACCACAAAATTGATCGCCTAACAACGCCCTAATCTTATATTGGCAACAAATTAAAAAATCGATCCGAACGGGCTCTTAGGTCAGCCAGCATTGTTCACTCCGAGTCGACGTTAGACAGACAGCGTCTACTTTGATAGACAGAAATATACCATTAATAAAAGCGGGTGGGTATGGAATAGAAACGGTTAGGGGGCGTTTTATAACGGTTAGGGGGCGTTTTATATAGGTATTTCGAATAATGAGTGATGTTTCCTTTCTGAAGCTTGACTGCCACATATTATTGCGACCAGTCATCAAGAAAAGTTATGCTCCATATTTCTGTTTTTCTTTGTTGGCATTTTCGATGTGATTGCTACTTTTTACTACTTGAATCTTGCCATGTACTACCCAGTGTCCTAGATCTCATAAGAAGGATACACCGGTATGGAGACACTTAGTTGCTACCTACCTAGGTATTTCAACAGTTTGATTCATGATCCGAAGCTTTAAAATTGGAAGCTTTGGTATTCGGGCAGTCCCGAAGTACTTTAGCTAAGGTAGGCTTATCGGTGAGGGGTCATTCATCCGATAAGGAAATCCATCCATCTCCTTAAACTTCAAAGCTTCCCTCACTCCCATCTCTCAGCAATAGCAATTCCACTCAAGTCAAGCAAAAATGGCACATTCTCACACATTACCTCCTCCGGCAGTTTCCAGGGGCCTCTCAAAAGAGCAACTCGACACCTTTAACCAAGATGGCTATTTGATAATCCCAGGCGCCCTCTCCCCAGAAATAGTTTCCTCCCTTCTCTCTGAAACACACTCTATGTTGAATAACTTCTCACTGGAAGATCATCCTATGACGAAATTTAGTACCGGGGAAGGAGATAATGCAGAACATGTGGGAGATAGTTATTTTTTAGAGAGCGGTGATAAGATTCGGTTCTTCTTCGAAGAGGGTACGTTACTCAAGCGCATCAACATCTAAGATTTAGAAATACACGAATACAGCCGAAGCATAATCTTTACTAACAACCAATCCCCAGATGCTCTCTCCCCAACAGGCGAACTACTAAGGCCCAAACACCTCTCCATCAACAAAATCGGACACTCCTTGCACACACTTTCCCCTCCATTCGCCTCTCTCCTCTCTTCCCAATCCACACATTCCCCCTCCCTCATCGCCAAATCCCTCGGTTTCCAACAACCCCAATGTCTCCAATCAATGGTCATCTGCAAGAACCCCGAAATAGGGGGGGCCGTCAATCCCCACCAAGACAGCACATTTTTATACACTGATCCACCTAGCGCATTGGGGTTTTGGTATGCACTTGAGGATGCGACGGCGGAAAATGGTTGTTTGAGCTTTTTGCCGGGGAGTCATAGGTGGGAGGGCGTGAATAAGAGGCTGGTTAGGAAGATGGATGGAAGTGGGACGGAGTTTGTGGAGAATGAAGGGGGCAAGTTTCCGAGAGGGCTTGAGACGAGGGAGAAGGATGTGGAGGGAAAGGATAGTTATGTGATGGGCGAAGTTAAGGCGGGGGATTTGGTACTTATTCATGGGAATTTGTTGCATAAGAGTGAGAAGAATACGAGTGCGAAGGGGAGAATTATTTATACGTTTCATGTTATTGAGGGGAAGGACGCGGTGTATGATGAGAGGAATTGGTTGCAGCCTCCTGAGGGAGGGTTTACCAGGTTGTAGATTTTGAAATAGAAAATGGAGATATTATGAAATATATTTTTATGGTTATTTGAGTTTGTGTGGTGATATTATGCGGTGCTGTGTATATACATCTAAGTTGATTGATATTATTGTGCAATGTTAATGACATTAGATATGTATGTATCTCGGACGACATATCAAGAATAGGTTGGTGAATTGGAAGCCGGATAGCTGTTAGATGGAGTACTCGCCAGCTTGGCCGTATCCGATGGATATGTTTTAGTGAAGAAGATCACGCGAGTTTATATAGTAGAAGAAGAGGAGATGTTATAACTTATGATGCTTACGAAATATTTTGGGGGATATTGAGGCAATAGTACAGGGCAGGGGAGGACAAGCTGAAGTTTTGAAAATTTCGGAAGATAGAGGAGATGGGGTTGAAGAGAAATCAATATAAGAATATACGATAGGATAGGACTACCAAAGACATAAGTGAAGTAGTTAGTATGAATAGAAAGGAAGGATAAAAGGAGACATTCGAGTTCACATGAGACTTCGTTTGTTGGAACTCCCCTATGCTAAGGGATATTCCTCGGCTGTTGATCTGACTGATGAATTTGAAAATTTAGAAGTAAAGACTTTTGAGTAAATGTATGCTATGCTTGAAATATTTCCCCCCTGGATGGCCCATAATAATAGTTCCCAGTAGTTTCGTTACAGATTTGGAAAACTCATGAAGTGAACTCCATGATTCTCAATCCCGTATTCTGTGAATCGCCATGTAAATCCGTTCGTTGTATGTTTCCCCAAGGTCATTTGTTGTATGTACCTCCATAATGTCCTATCGCCGTAAACCCAGTGACGTAAGTAAGTATTTGATCCAGATGTCAAGTTGCTCATTCATGCAGAACGATCGGCTACGATCCAGAGTTCGGTAGAGATATCGACTTTCCTTTTGGCTCGTGCTGAAAACCCTTGATTTCAAGACCAGTGATCGTCGATTTAATGACCTTGATTTGAACCTCATTCATCTTCGTGAACATCTTTCTGTTAATGCAATCAGGATCGGGAAGTCCGGAGGCGTAGACTCCATCGCGGACGATTGTTCCGCACCAATGTCGAACTTTGATTTTCATGATTTTTTGAAAGACTTTTTCTACTGTCAAACCAGCGTAAGGTGGTGCGGCGACTGGCCAGCAACCATTGAGTGAGGCGCTCCTCTGGAAAGACCCGGTAGTTATGAGATCACAGACGTCAAGGGAATCTTTACAGTACGATTTAGGCTCAATCCCTCGCTGTGCAAAGCTGCTGAGGGCAGCAAATATATTAACAAAAGCTTGTGCACGTTTGAGTTTTATCGCATCTGCGAATTGATTAGTACTGGGGTGTTTTTGGTGTTTTTGGTACTCATACCTATGAGTGACGGTGGAAGATAAAAGCGATTGTTCAAATGACTACCAAAAGTTTCATCGCTTTTGAGAATTGAGAGTTTTGTCATGTTACTGAAAACTCGATTTTCACGGAAGACCCACACGATAAAGATGTACGATTCCATGGTTGCCGGTGTGAAGGAAGGTCTTCTTGGACCAATAGAGGTGTGTTTTAAAAGATTTTCGACCCATATGTCTGAAATGCAACCCAAAATCTCATGCGTCTGGTACTTGTCCGTAAGGATTGCCAGTTCAAGTAGCAGCTCGAAGGTAACATGTTTAGATACTGTGTAATTACGTCCGTGGATGACCTGTGCCATTATCGAAAAGGCAGTGGGGTCATCTTCAGGCAGCTCAATTTCAATTTTGCCCTCAGCGAGCAATTCGGCTCCTTCTTTGAATCTGTTATCACCAAGCACAGCATTAAAGACAGGCGATGCAAGTTTCATATGCTTTGAAGAAACAAGCATAGTAACCGTCTTGGAAGTATCATCAGGGCTGATTTTATAGTCAGTTTTGAATCAATTAAAAGATACTTCAGGGAGCACGTACGCTTTTCTCTTCAACGATGCCGATTTGCTGGGTGATTCTTTGCATTTCTGATTGCCCTCAGAACTTCGAGTAAAGATGAAGAGGACGTCGCCGTTGGTATCAAATACAAGTTTCTCTGGGGCATCGGGTGTGGCTAATGCCATTGTAATAGGGTTGGAGGTTATGGGTAGATAATAGAAAGTAATGATGGAGAGTTAGATATTTTTCAAGAGAACTAAAGTTAACTCGATATGTATATTGTATTGGCAGTTGTGGAGGTTGAGGGTGGTAAGAAGGAAGATGAAATCTAAAGTTGAGAAATAACGCAAGCCGTGGCATCAGATCGTTGGCCTAGCTATTGGTAAAACAGATTCACTTGAAATTAGTAGTCAAGTTTTCGAAGCCTAAGGAAAGATATGAAAGAATGAAAGCCAATGAGATGTAACAGCAGTGGTGAAGTGTATGTAAATAATAAGTGTGTAAGTAAAGCCCTGCATTTAGAACCCTTCCATCTCAGAAATGTCATGGTATGCAGCAGAAGGCATAAGTGACAACTGTGCTATATCCAGATTATTCGATTTCGATTTCACCCTCGCCGGTAGCTTCATCCCCCCCTTCGCTCTCTTCACCTTCTTAAAATCCTCCATCTCCAATCCACACAACCTCTTCTCAAGATTCGCCAGTTCCGTATCAATAGCCTGTTTAACGCCATGAGTGGACCAATGATGATACTCGAACCCCTTGAATGGTGATATCTTATCACAAAGAGCGACCACTTCCACTTTGCGAATTTGGTTGACTACATAGTTGAATGTGAGGTTTGTGTCTGTAAGATCCGGTACGGGGAATATGCCTAGTTTTGTGGAACTTTGGAGGAGCGTTCCTAGGACCATACCACTGCATTCAAAAGAATCTTTGCGAGGTGCAGTGCAGTGGTGTTTACCGGTGTTGAGTATGGTTTCGACTGTGGAGTAAGCGTTAGATATTGCGGTTAATCTTCGTTCTTG